AAAGGTCAAAACTTAAAACTGAAATTGATACTGTCAGACCCTGTTTCCAGCATGACACAAACAGTTAAATCCTAACTCCTAATGACCCACAGTGCCTCCTCACAAGTGGAGAATCTCAGAATGGACAAAGGGTGCTGTGAAATTTGTCAAATAAGATAGTGTGATGTCCACTCCATACCTTTCCTCAACTGTCAGAAACAACCTCATTCATTGTCAGAGGCCTCCCTTCCTCCCCCCCCGCCTCTTCCTCTCCCCACTCCACCTCCTGTTTCTACCCACGTTTTTTATAAGTAGTTTTCTGTGGTTCTCTCTTTTCTCGAAACAGTGGTTCTCACCCTTCCTAATGCTGTGACCCTTTAATACAGTTCCTCATGTTATGGTAATGCCTAAGCATAAAATTATTTTCCTTGCTAGAACATAGGTGTAATTTTGCTACAGTTATGGATTGTAATGCAACTATCTGATACACAGGCTATCTAATATGCAAATTCTGAGAAAGGGTCATTCAACCCTTGAAGGGGTCATGATCCACAGGCTGAAGAATGCTGCTCAACATGTATTCTTTATCAAAACAATTAATTCTCCAATGCAAGGGCTAAACATATTTATAGGCAGAAACCTATAGTGCCCTTTATAATAAGATACTTCTACCGATGATAAAGTAGTAACTGACAACTTACTGCTAACTTGAATATAAAAATTTCTTCATTCCCTGGTTGTAATTCTTTTTCATGGCATGGCAAAACATGGGCCATCATAACAAATATTGCCTTTCAGATGTTAAAAATGCTCCTTTCCCTTGAGCTAACAGGATTCCTGAGACAAATAAACTCACAAAATAAAGTTATTGCTGATTTAATACCCCCATGATATAGATTTGCTTTTTGAGCACCTACTCTAAGTAGAAGAAAAGGCTAAAAGGATGTAAAGATTAAAAGATTCTTAGTAAGGAAAGATTTACATATGAAGATACAGATCCTTGGAATGGAAAGTAAAATGGGAACATTTGTGTGAGCTGAGTAAGTTATTGAAGGTATGCAGATGACACTTGGTGATGATGTATTTGGTGTCAGCATTTAACAGTGACCTCTAAGTACATCAAGAGTTCTTATGAGTTATTAGAATAAATCCTAAAGCATTAAGCAATTAAGTTATTATAGCTACAGTGTCAAAAAGTAAAGTCTGTTCATTTTTGTGTCGATAACTTTCCAGGTTTTATTTATGCTGCTTACACATATGTTATGTGGATCCCCAAACAAAAGTTTTAGACAGATATGCAGAACCATTGTCTGTTTTAAATCATTTTTGTCCATTTATCTCCTTTTGACAACTTTAGGAAATTTGAGTTTCTTAGGGTACTCCCAAGGATCAACCATAACTGAACAAGCTCATTTATGACTCAAAACCTAAACATATAAATATGAAAGGGGGATAAGGTATAAACTTGTTCAGGAGTAGCTTACAAAATCAACTGACTCTTAAATCCCCAATGCCACCTACAGAAAAACAGCATAATTGCCAAAGCTCATGTGGGACCAGAGTCTCCACAACCATCCTTCTCTCTTCTAGGGTCTCTCTGGATCCCAATAGGACTGATACAGCAGGAGATGGCAACGGAAGACAGCAACCTGGTTCAGAAGAGGGTCCTTCTTCTGGATTTCAACTGCATGAAGACCACATGGCACTTCTAATTCTCGCCCCATTTATCAAACTTTATTTCACGACACTGGCTCTATCTCCTAGCTTACACTTTGCCTAACTCAACAAAACATCACAAGTTTGAATAGGAATTCAGGTTTTATTATATTCAAAATATCACTATGAAATTATAAGAATAAACCCAAATTGGTGAGGAAATGCTTAAGAGGTTAGTTACATGCTCTTGAAACTGCTGTCATGTGGTTTGGGGAAAATCAAGGAAGCTTTCTTGTCTCTCTCATCGCTTGTATGTTAATCCTTTCCTATCCTCAGAAATACAGCAACATCCCTGGTCTGGGGGTGTCAGCATGGTAGACAGGGGCATTGGGCTGTTTCCACAGCTTTCTGCCCAACTTCAAACGCTCAAAGAGGAGGATAGATGCATCGGGCTAAACTTTGCTGACTGGTTTTCAGGATTAGATATTCCTTTCTTTCTTTCTTCCTTCCTTCCTTCCTTCCTTCCTTCCTTCCTTCCTTCCTTCCTTCCTTCCTTTTTTCAGGAACAGCCATTCAGTTTGTCTGACTCTTCCTTGCTGTACTCTGTCGCCTTTAATGTGATGCTGATTGACGCTGCTCTACCACACCTTGACTAGAACTCCACCAGCGATCACCTGCAGAGACATGCTTCTTGAGAACTCTGATGATTCTTATTTCTGAAAACACCTCTTGCTTGACATTGAAACAAAGTTAATAATATGCCTTGAGCAGAAGTCTGAATTTGAGGCCAGCCTGGTCTACAGAGTAAGTTCCAGGACAGTCAGAGCTACATAGAGAAACCTTGCCTCAAAAACAAAACAATAGCAATAACAATAATATGCCTGAGATCATTAAAAACCGTGTACTTGAGCCGGGTGTTGGTGGTGCACGCCTTTAATCCCAGCACTCAGGAGGCAGAGGCAGGAGGATCTCTGTGAGTTTGAGGCTAGCCTGGTCTACAGAGCGAATTCCAGGACAGCCTCCAAAACAATACAGAGAAACCCTGTCTCAGAAAAAAAAAACGTGTACTTAATCTACCACTCAGCTAATTCATGCAATCAACTTTTACATCCTAAGAGCTATAGCAAATAAGTGTTGATAACCTCTGTGTGCTCTTCTGGGTCAGTAAAGTAAATCTTCCCCCTGTAAAAGTATCCTAGAAGATTTAGAAGATTTATTCCTCATTTCTTTCCATGAAAAAGAGACTTTCATATATATATATATATATATATATATAATTTTTAAATTTAAATTAGAAACAAGGTTGCTTTACATGTCAATTCCAGGTCCCTCTCCGTTTCCCTCCCCTCCTCCCATGCCCTCCCTCAACCCCCCCAATATCCCCTCATTTCCCCAGGGAGGGTGAGGCCCTCCATGGGGGTGTCCATAGTCTGTCATTTCATCCAGGGCAGGGCCTGGACCCTCCCCCAAGAGTTCAGGGTGAGAGTGTATCTCACATTGTTGGATGGGAGCCCAAAGTCCATTTGTATACTCAGGATGAGTACCCCAAGGCTCAATAGATTACCTAGGCCTCCTCACTGACACCCACATTCAGGGGGTCTTGATCAGTCCCAGGCATCAGCCTGGGATTCATGAGTTAACCCTTGTCAGGTCAGCTGTTTCTGGGTGTTAAACCAGCCCAGTCTTAATGCCTTTGGTCATCAATCCTCTCTCTCTCTGTCACTGGATTTTTTGAGTTCATCTCAGTGCTTAGCTGTGGGAGTCTGCCTCTTCTTCCATCAGCCGCTGAATGAAGGTTCTGTTTCCCAGACTCTCTGACCATGGGATTGTAGGCTGGCACTCCCCAGATCTATGTCTAAAATCCATATATGAGAGAGTACATGCCATGTTTCAAAAAGAGACTTTCTTAGAGACAGATCAAACATGGGAAATTTTTTTATTCCTTAATGCAAAATGGATAGCGACCCATGGCTATTCTAGAATATTCCTTATAGCCACATGAGTAGCTTGGGTAAAGCAGGGCACCCTGCAACATCATCACATTCCCCAGCCTAGTAACACAGACCCCTGCTCTCCCCCACCAGGTCTGATTAGCAATGGCCTCACAATAGGAAGTGGTCAGTGTACTAGCCCAGCCTGGAGAGTAGCCCAGAACCCTGCCCATCCTCACCACAGCCACACCCATGTAAAGCAGACTGGCACCAGCCCAGACTGGTGAGTAACTAAGAACCTATCCGCACACTGCCAGGCCTCGCTGGTGTTACACATTGTGTAACACAGCCCACAATGGTGAATTCCCAGGAACTTGTCAGCCAGAGCCATTCTCATACTTCCTGGCCTACTGGGGTCAATCAGACTACACACCATCTCAGCCTGGTGAGAGCTCAAGACCCTGTCCTGGGTTGTCCTACTAGTGCTCCCTGGCCTATCATGGGTTGAACAACCTGTACTCCAATCCAGCCTAGTGTAGAATCAAGACCCTGCCTTACTGAATCATCCTGACACACTCAGATCAAGTTTAGCTGAAACAGTTCACTGAGCAGCCAAGTCTAACCAACCAAACTAACTCAGGTTATCAAGTGGTGTCACGAGCCTAGGAAGGCAGTCTATCAGGCCAGTGTTGTGAGTATCCAACATCCCCATCTGTCTATTACATATTCACAGGCCTAGCTTGGGCTATAGAGCCTGAGCAACAGCCCAACCTGGTGAGTGACCAAGACTCCCCAGCCAGCATCTTCCCTAGACTCCCAGGCCTAGTTCAGGTCAGCCAGCTCTCCAACTAAATTGGTGAGTTAGTCAAAATTGTGAATTCCTCTACCATCATCAGAGGCTCTGACCCAGTTGTTGTCAAGCAGCCTGTGTACCACACATGACTGGTGAGTGATCAAGTCACTGCCCTCTCATGCAATCCTCACATTAGCAGACCTAGCTTGGGCCAAATTGTGATCTATCATCACAGTCTTGTGAGTTCCTCAGAGCCTCATCCATCTACACCATGGCCATGCTCCCATACCCAGCTGTGGTCATGACGTATGGCTAGCAGCTAAGTCTGGTTGATGAGTATAAATTGGGGCAAATCATATTGAACACCATCCAAGTTTGATGGATCGAGATCCTATCGTGCTGGTGTGGTACTAATACTCGCAGGCCTAGCTTGTGGTGTCCAGCTGGCACTACAGCCAAGTGAATGATCTGAAAATCTCCATAAAGCCAGGCCCCGTTGGCAAGGGATCAAGACCCCATATTCTGGCTCCAGCAGCTCTCAGGCAAGCCAAGACTCCTTTGTGATGCAAACACCTGCCCTCCTACAGCTGCTCAGGCTAGGGAGTGATCTCATAATTGCAGGCATACTGTGGGTCAGCCCAACCAGGTAAATGATCTTGAACCCACTCTTTCCCACCATTACCATTCTTCCAGGTCTAACTTGAGCTAAAAGGCCTGCAAACAAGCTCAACCTGTGGGGGAATCATATTTTTGTCTTCTTGTATCATCCCCACAATCAGTGGTTGAATTGTGATCAGGCTGCCTACTCCTAGACCTGCTTTGGTAAGTGATCAAGACCTGGATGCCCCCCTATCCCTACCCACAAAGTCCTAACGATTTCAGACTTCTTGGGGGGTCATAGAAATAATGAATGCTCTGATAATCAAGACTCTCTCTACATGTACTCTCCTCACTCGAAGCTCTAGCCTGGACCACAGAGCCTGAAGAGACCAGACAACTGAGTGATCAAGATTACCCATTAACCAGCATCACTGATCAGCACATCTTGGTGAGTGCTCCAGACCACTGACCTCCATGTAAGTCCCATATTCCCAGCTCAGACTGCTAAGTGGTCAAGACCCAGCTCTACTACCACATCTTCCAACTACAAAGCCTTGAAATGGTTACAAAGCCTGGTGAGTTACTACAAATATCACCTGCCATCACCACCCTTACTAACATGACCTAGCTAGAGTCATGTTGTACATCATAACTAGTCTGGTGAGAGCTCGAGATCTGGGCCTCCCAGTGTGGTACTAATATTCCACAATAGCTTGAGTAGAAATGCCTGGCCTCTAGCCCAGCCTGGTGAAGGATCCAGACCTCTGTACTGCCAACAACGTGCCCACATCCCCAGACCTAGAATGGCTGTAGCAGCCTTGGTACTTGTCCTGGTTAGGGAGAAAGACACTACCCTCATGCCCCATCCTCACACTCCTCAGCATAATTCAGGTCATGGAGTATATGGACCTGCCAAGCCTGCTTAGTGACCCAGAATGTTTTCCTCATGCCTCACCCTAGACCAGAAAGTGGTCTTACAATTCCAGGTATACTGTGTCCCACACTATGAGTGACACAGAACCTTGTTCTTCCACAACATTAGCACACTACCAGGGCTAGCATAGGTCACAGAGCCTGCCCACAAGCCATCTCTGTGACCCGAAACTGTCTTCCCTTGTTGTCTCCATAGTCACAGAGCTGTATAGGTCTGAGGCACCTACCCACCAGTGTACCTTGGCCCTCCATCAATACCAGGCCCTCCATCTCTCATGAACCTGACTATCAAAGACTTGTTCACAACAAACAGCAGGGGCACCAGAAAGATCATTTTCAGTGATTAAGAGCCTCTTGTCCCACACAGTCCTCACACACCCAGGCCTAGCTGACACCAAGCATCTTACCCATCATCAGAGTCTAATAAAAAGCCAACAAATACACTTTCAGGACTAGCTTTGGCCTTTTACCCTGAGCAACAGCAGAGCCTTGTCAGTGATCAAGATACCCCTTCCTCTAGTGCCTTCATCACACTTCCAGGCTTAGTTCAGGTCAAGGTAATCACAGACCAACATGGCCTTCAGAATGACTCACACCCTTGCCCTCCTGTGTCATCTCCAGAGCCTCAGACCCCAGTTGCGATCAAGTAGCCCAGATAGTAGCCCATATTAGCCCAGTCCTGCCTTAGTCAGCCAGTTTACCTCGGTTCCATGATTGATCCAGAATCCTGTCAGTCTGCACCATTGCTGTATTCCCAGGTCTGAAAAGTATCAAGCAGTCTGGGCACCATCTGTGACTGCTCAGATGCTAAGACCAACAATGACTAGGTCAGTCCATTTTCTAGCCGGAGCCAATCATACGGTGCACCATCCCAGCCTGGCGAGAACTCCAGATCCAACCCTGCTCAGTGACGCAGCCTGTACTCGAGCCAACCTCCTGAGTGACCCGGGTCTTGCACTCTTGTGACATCTGACCAATCTCTAGCCCAGCTGAAGCCAATCTGCCTGATCAGCAACCCTAACTGGTAAGTGATAAGACCCTGCCCTTGCACACCATAGTTCTGATCTTGGCCTGTTGACTCACCCATAACCCTGCCTATCTGCAACATTAACATACTCCCAGGCCTAGCTATGTCCTTCTGTGACAACCATACAGTCCCAAGGTAAGTTGGGGTCAAGCTGTTTGCTCATTGATCTGGTATGTGATCAAGACTAAGTTCTCCCCAACCCTCCTAACAAGCCCGGTATTGGTTGGGATCAGTTGCCTGGGAATAAGAGCATCCATGTATTAGTAATCAAGGTGATTCACTCCCACACCATCCCCATAGTGCCTGTCTTGACTCTGGCCAGGCAGCTTTCCTATCAGCCCAGTCTAGTAAGTGCATTCCACTTCCCCAGGCTCACAGGCCAAGATATGAACTCAATGTCTTATACTATGTGCTCAGCCCCTTTACACTTAATATACCTTTAAGAATATAAGTAATGTTGCCCCTTGGAAGTGGAAATACAATTCTTGGGATCCTTGGAGGTTTCAGAGCTGGTGGTAGAGGTGCCTGGAGAGATCACAATGACGTGACCAGCCTGTCCTTCTCCTCCCTTCTTTCGCCTGCACAATGACTTCTTTCCTCTGAAAGAAAAGTTTTGGGGAAAAAAGCCCCTAAAGCTAGTAGATGCCTCGTGGCTTTGCTTTCTCTAGACCACCAGGTCTTAGAAGAAGCTTGGGGTGGCCACGCTGCCTTCAGGGCCACACTACTTACCTATCTGCCACCCCATGCATCCCTCTGTATCCTTGCAGCCACCATGATAGGTGAGATCTGTGCTGCTACAAAATTCATCTCTAAGTTCCTCAGCACCAAGGGCCTCAGGAGTGAACAACAGCTGCAGACCTTCAGACAGAGCCTGCAGGATCTTCTGGCAGAACATTACAAACATCACTGGTTTCCAGAGAAGCCCTGCAAGGGATCAGGCTACAGGTGCATTCGCATCAACCATAAGATGGACCCTCTGATTGGACGGGCAGCCCAGCAGATTGGCCTGAGCGGTCAAGAGTTGTTCAAGCTTCTGCCAAGCGAACTCACACTGTGGGTTGACCCCTATGAAGTGTCCTACCGGATTGGAGAGGATGGCTCCATCTGTGTGCTGTACGAAGCCTTGCCAGCGGCAGACAGTTCCCAAAGTGGCACCAGTGAGCAAACAGTAGACAGAAGAATCAGTTGCAAGGAGAAAACTTTCTTGGTCAGAGCAAGCCCTTCTAAAAACTACAAAATGATGACTGTATCGGGTTAAGATACAGTTTACTGACAGCTCATCTTATAATGGAGGGATAAATTTGATTTTTGGTTTGGGTGGGATCCTCTGGGGGATGGATTATGGAATTTAAACCATGTCACAGCTGTGAAGATCTAGCACAAGACAGAGTGGTAATATTTTTTAAGTGGTAATATTTTTTTTAAGTTTGGACAATACCTTTCAAGGATTTTCAAGTCTGTGAGTTCAAGAACACAATTACTTTATTTGTTAGATAGGAAGTCCTATGTTGGCTTCACTTTCTCCCAGACTTTATAACTGTTGTCACATCAGTCCCTTTAAGAAAATTTGTATTTACTTTACTTTTATATTTTATGTGTGTGAGTGATTTGCTGAATGTATGTCTGTGTGCCACGTGTGTAGTATGCTGGGAGAAGTCACAACAGGGACATGATTACCTGAGGATGCTAGAAACTAAGCCTGGGCCCTCTAGTAGAACAAATGGGTCTCTTTATCACTGAGCCATCACTCCAGCCACATAAATCTGTATTTTAATGAATCATCTTCCACATTTGACCTTTTAAGGGGTTTGGCACTATTACACTTGGATGTTATCAATAACTTTTTGGCCATTGGGTAGGAAAGTTCAATCATATAAGCATGATATTAGAGGAAATTTCACACCAAGAGATTTTCCTAGCACTTCAATAAACGTACATAAAGACTAGGTCAGATGACAGCGGAAAGGAAAGGGTCAGGCTTTGTATTGGGCTTTTGGTTTTGAAAGCAGTAAGTGAGCAGAATGTTCCTTGGCAACAGGACTTTTAAAATGTTTTTTAATTTATTTTTTACATTCTAATCCCATTCCCCCTTCCTCCCCTCTTCCCACTCGCCCACCCCCCTCCTCCTATCTGATCCATGAAGGGGGTAATAGGCTTTTTAAAGACCCTTTAGAAGAGGGACACACATGGAGGACCCCAGGAAGGGGAAATAGTTGAGATCTCCAGGGTAAAGTGGGAGGAGGGGTAAAAGGGAGGGAATAGGGCATGGGAACATGAAAGATCAAGATGGCCCAGTTGGGGGAGAGATGGAGATGGAGAGGGACGAAAGAGATATCTTGATAGAGGGAGCCATTATGGGGTTAGGGAGAAACGTGGTGCTAGAGAAATTCTTAAGAATGCACAAGGAGGACCCCAGCTAAGACTCCTAGCAATAATGGAGAGGGTGTCTGAATGGGCCTTTCCCTTTAATCAGATTAGTGACTATCCTAGAAGTCATCATAGAACCTACATCCAGTAACTAATGGAAGCACATGCAGTGACCTACAACCAAACACTGAGCTGAGTTCCTGGAGTTCAGTTGAAGAAAGGGAAGAGGGGTCATATGAACAAGCAAAGTTGACTGCTACTCAGTGAACAAGAGTATCCCCCCTCCCACCATCCTCACACTTGAGGCATATCTATGGTCCTGTTAATTGTCTATCAGTCCAGCCTATGAGCATCCAAGACCATCACCTGTACACTCATGGGCCAAGGTTGGGTCACACACGGCATGGGTACTAGACCACAATAAAGAGTGTCCAAAGTCCCCACCTGCTTCTTATCCTCACACTCACAGGCCTAGCTTGGGTCATATAACCTGAACTATATCCTAGCCTCAAGAGTGATCCAGATTCACTCAAGCAGGCTCTTCAGACTTCCAGGCCTTGTTCAAATCAAGCATAAGCCCAATGGTCAAAGCCTGATGAGTAACTCATACCCTTCACTTCTGTGTCATTTCTGAAGTCCCAGGACCAGCCGAAGTCAAGCAGCCTGGACATTAGCTCAGGCTGTTGAGTTATCAAGACCTTGTCATTTCAGATCATCCTCACATCGCAGGCCTATCCTGGGTTAAGCAGTTTGTCCACCAACACAGTACCATTCCCAGATTTATTAAACAACACAGATACCAGTCAAGACTGGTGAGTGATAAGAGACCTTGTCCTCTACACCATCTTTACATGGCAGTCCTAACTGGCATTGCACAGCCTGCACACCAACCCAGCATGATGCATTCCCAAGAACCTCACTATGTAAGCCATCCTCAAGCCTCCTGACCTAGCTGAGATCAATTAGACTACACCATCCAAGTCACAGGAGTTCAAAAATCCTATCCTGTTGGTGTCTTCCCAATACTTTCATGCCTTGCTTGGATTGTACAGCCTCCATTCCAGCCCTGCCTGGTGAGTGACCCAGAGCCTCACACTCCCCCCATATCCCACACAGCCCCAGGCCCCTCTTTCTAAGTATCAAGACCCACTCACTACCTTACCCCATCCTCATGCCTCCTAGGCATAATTCTATTCAAGCAGCTCTCAGAGCTGTCAAACCTCCTTTCTGAACCAGACCTCTGCCCTCCTGTACCTGCTCAGACTAGGGACTGATACCACAATCACAGGTAGACTGTGTATCAGTACAACCAGGAAAATGATCATAAAACCTACCATTCACCACCATTAACACACTTCCAGGTATAGCTAGGTTTTAAAAACCCAGCCCATTGTGTAAATGTGCAGCATTTTATTTATCCATTCCCAACATCATGAAATTTACAGAAAAAAACATCCTGACTGAGGTAACTGAGACCCAGAAAGACAAATATGGTATGTATTCTCTTATAAGTAGATATTAACTGTAAAATAAAGGACAACCATGCTACAATTCACAGACCTAGAGAAACTAGGTAACAACAAGGCCTCGAGCTGTCCTGCTTGGATCTCCCCAGGAAAGGGAAATAGAAGAGATTTTGTGAGTGGACTTAGGGCTTGGAATGATCAGGTTAGGGGAAGATGGAGGGGAACAATACTGAAAGATACATTTAGAAAGGGGGTCATTTTGGGATCAGGTAGAAACCTAGAGTAAGGGAACCTCTAGGAATCTACAAGGATGACCCCAACTAAGACTCCTGGCAATAGCAGATATGTAGTCTGAACTGGCTATTCCCTCTGACCAAGCATTATTTCAAGTGGGGCGATTGGTACACCAAGCCAGCCATATAACTTTCAACTTCTAGTCTGTCCTGCCTATGGGATGTGCTGGGTTAAGGGTAGCCTAGAGATTGAGGGAGTGAGCACCCAATGATTGGCCCATCCTAAGATCCATGCCACAAGAGTAAGCCCACCCCTGACACTGGCTGGAGCACCAGGACCCACAACCCTGGATGATCCAGAGACCCAGGATAGAACCAAAAACAACTGGAGAAAAAAAGTCAATTTAATAAATGATTCTTAATGATATTCTGCTATAGTCATAGACTGGTGTCTATCCCAAGTGTCATCAGATAGGCTTCATCCAGCAACTTGATATGCCATGTCTTATTGATATCCATGGGTCTGCGCTTTTCTGAACAGAAACAGAGAAGTAGATTGGGATTGGGGCAGAGGGAGAGTGGGGGAAGGCCTGGGCGGGAAGGAGGGAGGGTAAACTGTGGTCAGGATGTAAAATTAATTAATTAATTAATTAAAAACACAGCCCAAATATTCAGCATGTAAGGGACCCAGACTTTATCCTTTGTCACCTCTACATGCACAGAGTTATATGTGGTTAAGGGGCCAGCTTACCAGCTTACTCTAGCAAGTGACCCACATTAGGCCTTCCCCCATGAGGTAGGGGTGTGTGTGTGTGTGTGTGTGTGTGTGTGTGTGTGTGTGTGTGTGTGTCCAAAGATAGCTTGGGTGATGCAGGGTGATAGGGTGATAACAACTCTGCATGTGAGTTCCCAATAGCCACACACACCCTAACCATCTTCACCTTCCCTGGTATAGCTTGATTAATCACACTGCTTAATGTCTTAGCCTGTCGAGAGCTTAAGGTCCTGCAGGTATCCTATTAATACTTTCAGGCCTAACTTGGGTTGCAGAGCCTGTACTTCTGTCCAACTTGTTGAGTGGCATAGACCCTTACACTTCCAGGACATCACCACATTCCCAGGACATGCCTCACTTTGTAAGGAATTAAGACTGTCGTCCTACACCATCCTCATACTCCCAGCCATAGTTCCACTCAAGGAGTTCTGAGAGCAGCCAAGCCTTCATTGTGAGCCAGACTCCTGCTTTCCCGCAACTAGTCAGTCTAGGTGTGGTCTCAAAATCACAGGCAGATTGCGCTAGCCCAAAGAAATGAGTGACCCTGGATTCCACACTTCCCCAGCATAGAAACAATTCCAGGGTTTGTTGAGGTCAGGCAATGTAGACACCAGAGGAAAGAAGCAAATGCCCTAAGTGCTTTAGTGATCTAGACTCTCTCTTCAGTATCCTCACATTGATAGACCTTGCTTGGTTCACACAGCCTGAGCAACACCCCAGTCCTGGGAGTGATCAAGGCTCACATTACAGCACCTTCTGCAGATTCTCAGGAGTAGTCTGGTCAAGCAGACCCTGAATGGTGAAGCCTGATAAACAACCCAGAATGCTATGCCCCTCTGTCATCCCAATAGTCTCAGGCTTTGGTCAAGCCTCCCCCACACCTGCCCAGACTGGTAAGTAATCAAGACCCTGGCCCCACACACTGTCCTCCAACTCCCATGCCTATCTTGAGCCAAGATGCTTGCCCACAAGACTAGGCCATTAGCCCACCCATCTGCATTACTGGCATACTCCCAGGCTTAGCTCCATCCATGCCTTCCCCACCATTTCCATAAACCCAGGAAGACCTTTCTACTCACCAGCTTAACCTGGTAAGCAATGTGGTCCAGGGCCTCTCCATCATCCCAACATCCCCAAGACCTGTTGGGTTCAAGCATCCTCGTTATAAGTGCATCCCATCAGTAATCAAGACTCCCTCCTCCTTGACAGTCCTTGCTCTCTGGCTTTACTCTAGCCAGGCAGCTTGTATGTCACAAGCATAGCGACCACCCAAGAGCCTTAACCTTCCTCACAGTCAGAAGCCAATATTTGTTTACTCTGTTTGGGCACCAGGCCACTCTGTTTGATGCTTAAGGCTCCCCATCCAGAGCCTTCCTAACAGTCCCAGGCCCAGTTCAGGTGAAGCAGATTGAAGACCAACACAGCCTGGTAACTGAGACAGACCCCTGTCCTCAGCCCAGACTGGTGAGTGATCAAGAGCCTGTCCTTCTACACCACCTCCATACTCTAAGGACTAGCTTGTCCCATGCAGCTTACCCAAAATGCCAGCCACATGAGAGATCAAGACCCTACCCCCACCCCCAGGCTACACTAACCCTCAAAGCCAGCATTCCTGGCCTGCCTTTGAATGACCCAGACCTTGAACTTCTTACTCCATTCATCCAGTCTTAATCCGAGCTAGGGTTAAGTTGCCTGCTCACGAGCATAGATTAGTCAGTGATCTAGAATTTCCTCACCTGC